CTGCCGCCGCCGATCTTGCCCATAGCCTCCATCGCAGCATAATAGAATTACAAAATTTGAGAATAGATGCTGTCTCACAACTCTCATAACCCCAACACCCCTCTTATGTTTGGATGCATTACATTTTAATTGCCAAATGTAAGTCTGGAGATGTTATAGAAATTTTAAAATACCTTTGTGTTTTTCTGACACTCTTATCAAATATCTAAGCAAAAGCTATAAGTCTATTATAATCCAAGCATCTTTGAGAATGAAACTAAAGATTAAAAAGTTGGCAAACAGAATTTAAGTTAATTAGTTATCACAATTAAGCTTTTCGGGTTCAATTACAAAACCCCTTTTAACAGAATTGGAGAAACCAAACTGTTCTTCGCTGGTAAGACCACAAAAGAGATGTTCTGCGATAAAGGTTCACCATCTATATTCAAATATTAATCGAACTAGAACCGCGATAATTGATCTGCTCAAAAAATCGAATATGGTAAAAATCGAACCCTATCTCGTGTATTCGGCGAAGCTCTCCGCGGGATGCAGCGGCGGCGGCGGGACAGAGGTTATGGGCAGCGGCGTCATCGCGACGGAGGCTATGGGCAAGATCAGCGGCGGCAGAGTGTATGTGAGAGAGAGAAGGGAAGAGAGAGAAGCGAAGACGGAGGGGCTTTTAAGAATTCAATGAGGACCATCGGATCGCTACTACCAATCTAAAGGTGAGATTGATTGGTAGTAACATTGGTTGTAACTTTATATATATATATATATATATATATATATATATATATATATACACACACTGTAAAAAGACTTATTATTACCTATATATAATTATCAATTTTAAATGGTAATTTTTTTTAAATATTTAGTCTCTTTAATTTTATAAGTTATATAGCTAATTTATTCTCAACCCAAGCCTGTCTCATTTTTTTCATAATTAAAATAAAAAAATTTAGAAAAAAAGTAAAATATATATTTCTCAGCTATCCCATCCACACGCAATTATTATTTTTATAAATACACATTAGGTAATGAAAACTGTAATAAATTTGAAGCTAATATAAATCAGTATATATAACTATGAATAATTAATTTAATTAGTAGCTAAATAACTATAAAAAAAATCTATAGAAATATTGATTGTAATATTAAATATTTATGGGAAGAATGAAGAAAGAGGAAATAAAAGATTCGCCGAGATAATAAAACGGAGGTAAGGCAAGCCTATATATATATTTGCAGTAACAATCAAACAAGCACAAGGCAGAATAATAACTACTGGAACGGTCAATATTCATCTTGCTCTTTATGGTATCTAAGGAGACAATGGCACTGGTGAATGATGATAACAATGATGATATAGGAGACATGTTTCCGATAGGATTGCGTGTTCTTGCTGTTGATAACGATCGAGAAAGCCTTTTCAGTTTAGAGACTATGCTCCGAAGTTGTCAATACCAAGGTGTGTTCTTTATGCTCTCTCTTTTTCTTCTCTGTTTCTTTTCTTTTCTTCTCTTTTCTATTTTTACAAAAAAATTGAAGATTTTGCTTTTGGATTGTGTGCTGTTGTTTCTTGCTTTCAAGATTGAGTATATATATGGCTTGTCAATACCACGGTCCAGTTGAGTTTTGCTAGTCTTTTTATTGCTTTTCTTTATTCCAATATAAATATAAATATATCTTGCTTTCTTTATCTTTATTATTCTGGCAATATTGAGAGTGCTGATTGTGTTCTTTCCTTTTCTTTTATCTTGAAATTATTTAGGATGTGGGTTTTCTTTTTCTTTTTTATGGACAGGATGTAGGTTTTTTTTTTTGTGTGCTTCTGTATCTTTCAACCCAAACATCATATCACTGGAATAATAACAATTTTTTTTTTTTTTGTAAATTTTAATTTTCAGATTGAGTTCGTCAGTTTTTTAAGTTAGTGTTTCATCTAACAAAAGAAACATAGGATATTTGTTTTTTTAAGTTCTGGAAATATATATAATTCTATATATATATATATATATTTTATTTCTATATTTTTCTGACAATATTTAGATGTGGGTTTTCGATTGGAATAAAAAAGATTTTTTTTTCTTATAAATTTAAATTTGTCCAGTTGATTGTGTCAGTTTTTTTCTGTTTGGTTTCTTATGTAAAAAATCTTTTATTTCTTTAACTAACACTTGTATACTCCTGTATATATTTGTGTGAAATTATTATCACTGATATTTAATCATTTTCCTGTCAAATATTTTATTTTTTGTACATTATATCTAGTAACTGCTACTATTAATCAATATAATTATTTATAATTTTTATCCTAATTCTTTAGTGTTGGTTTTGAAACATTGTGTTACCACGGTCTGCACTTTCTGTTGTGCTTTACTTTTCTTTTCTTTACTTTTTCAGTTTCGTGAAAAATTGAAAGTAATGAGGATGTGGCCTTTTTATTGTATACTTATATTGTGTGTGACACGTTGTGTTCAATTAAATTATTGGCTTCAAATGCAGGATGTACCTACTTTCCTATGAATGGAAATCATCTAATGAAATCGTCTACTTCCCTATAAAAAAAGTTCAGTATCCTCCCACAAAGTGGTGAATTAGCAATAAAAGAAGAAATAGCAAGTCAATCTTCAAAAATTTCATCGCAATAAAAATGAGAAATATTTATACCAAACTTACAAAAATAAAAAAGGGCAGGAGAAGTAAAAAAAAAAGCAGGGTCATTTGTCTGCTTGGCTAGTCAAACATGGACTAGTTCATAGATCTTTGGGTTTCGATTACCGCGGAATAGAAACCTTACAAATAAAGCCCGAAGATTGGCATTCCATTGCTGTCATTTTGTATGTATATGGTTACAATTATCTACGTTCTCAATGTGCCTATGATGTATCACCGGGAGGACTGTTAGCTAGTGTGTATCATCTTACAAGAATAGAGTATGCCATAGATCAACCAGAAGAGGTATGTATAAAAATATTTGTCCCGAGGAAAAACCCCAGAATTTCTTCTATTTTTTGGGTTTGGAAAAGTGCGGATTTTCAAGAAAGGGAATCTTATGATATGTTGGGAATCTTTTATGATAATCATCCGTGTCTGAAACGTATTTTAATGCCAGAAAGTTGGATAGGATGGCCGTTGCGTAAAGATTATATTACCCCTAATTTTTATGAAATACAAGATGCTCATTAAATGTAAATGAGAAAAATAAAAATAAACTAGCCGGATTATATTTATAATTTACCTGAGATGAATTTAGACTATTCAAACCCCGGAATTCCCTAGATTAGACTTTTTTGTCTTTCAACCAACAAATCTAACCATTTGAATATTCTTGAAAAAGTATTAATCTTCTTTCTTGCAGCGGAGAAAAAAAGGCAACCAAAATCGAATAATTCATTTTTTATATACAGAATATACCTAGAACATACACCTACTCTGTACTCATTTAGAAAGAGTATATCTCTAGACACCTAGATGAAAAAATATATAGCATGATATAAACCACTAATATAAAAATAAATATGTATCTATTCCCTAAATTTATATTTTTTCAAATAAATATTGGGAATAGATACTCATACAAACAAATTATGTGCCAGGAACCAGATTTGAACTGGTGACACTAGGATTTTCAGTCCTCTGCTCTACCAGCTGAGCTATCCCGACCATTCTTGACGCATCATACTCATTTTATTATTTTATTAGATTACTTTAATCTATGTCAACTAAAAAAACACGAAAAAAGAAGACTTTGTAAGTTTTAATAGAATTATAGTAATTCTTATGTATTGTTAATCATTTATATGAGGACTCCTTGCTTAAAGATAAGATGTTTATTTGTACATTTCTCATATAGAAATATAGAAAACGAATTCTACATCTATCATATATATTTAATTCCATATTCCAAACATATTTCACATATTCCAAGACTTGTGATTGTGATAAGAAAAATAAAAACTCCACTCAGATCCAAATAGACTGAAAAGATGTTATTTGAGCAATAATGAAGAATTTTTTTTTAGGATTTTCAAAAAACCGAAAACCATTTGAATCCAAACCAAAAATTGGATTGGATCGGATTTGAAAAAAGTCCAAACCGAATGGATGATTATGTGATCAAATCGAAGGGATTGAATCAGATGATTTTTGCTTCCAAAACCGATCCAATTCAGACCGCGGACACTGCTAATATTGAGGGTGTGGCTTTTTGGTTGTGTTCTTTCCTTTTCTTTTTTCTTGAAAATATTTAGGATGTGGGTTTTCTTTTTCTTTTTTATGGACAGGATGTGGGTTTTTTATTGTGTGCTTTTGTTTCTTTCGACCCAGACATCATATCACTGGAATAATAACAATTTATTTTTATTTTTTTGTAAATTTGAATTTTTCAGATTGAGTTCGTCCTTTTTTAAGTTAGTGTTTCATCTAACAAAAGAAACATAGAAAATTTGTTTTTTTAAGTTCTGGAAATATATATAATAGGTAGGTTATACTTACAATCTTTTTTTTACAACCTCTTACAACCATATCTTAACACCATTTATTTCCGTCAATCAACGATTATAATTTTTGCAAATTAAACTCATTAATTAAATATTAATTAATAATAAATGATAACCGTTGATTGACGGAAATCAACTGTGTTAAGATATGGTTGTAAGAAGTTGTAAAAAAAAGGTTGTAAGTATAACCTTCCTCTAATTCTATATATATATATATATATATATATATATATATATATATATATATATATATATATATCTTTTAATTATATATATATATATATTATATATATATATATATCTTTTAATTTCTATATTTTTCTGACAATATTTAGATGTGGGTTTTCGATTGGAATAAAAAAGATTTTTTTGTCTTATAAATTTAAATTTGTCCAGTTGATTGTGTCAGTTTTTTCTGTTTGGTTTCTTATGTAAAAAATCTTTTATTTCTTTAACTAACACTTGTATACTCCTGTATATATTTGTGTGAAATTATTATCACAGATATTTAATCATTTTCCCGTCAAATATTTTATTTTTTGTACATTATATCTAGTAACTGCTACTATTAATCAATATAATTATTTATAATTTTTATCCTAATTCTTTAGTGTTGGTTTTGAAACATTGTGTTACCATGGTCTGCACCTTCTGTTGTGCTTTACTTTTCTTTTCTTTACTTTTTCAGTTTCCTGAAAAATTGAAAATAATGAGGATGTGGCCTTTTTATTGTATACTTTTGTATTTTTTGGTCTAGACGTATTATTTTTGGAATTATATCATTTTTTCCATCTTTTTAATAAATTAAATTTGTCAAGTTGATTCTTTTAGTTTCTTAACAAATCTTTTATTGATTTCTTTGTTACTCAATTATCAATGAAGTTGAGCCATTTTCCTGTCTAATATCTTCTTTTTTTACATTATGTCCTGTCAATGTTACTATTAATTAATAAAATTATTTTAAATTTTTATCATTCTTTGATATTGTTTGTGACACGTTGTGTTCAATTAAATTATTGGCTTCAAATGCAGGATGTAACTACTTTCCTATGAATGGAAATCATCTAATGAAATTTTTATAGGTTTTGTGTTATGCTTGTATTTGTGATATTTCATTTTGTTCACAGAGAATAATGTTTTTTGTAATTATGGACTTTGTAGTAACAACGTCTACAGATGCAACGACAGTACTGAGGATGTTGAGAGAAAACAAGTTTGACCTTGTGATCAGTGAACTACACATGCCTGAAATTGAAGGACTTAAGCTGCTTAAGCTCATGCAACCTATGGACATACCTGTTATATGTATGTGATAATTTTATATGTAATCTTCTACTGTTCTTATTTTTTATATTTATTTTCAATTATTGCGATTTTGATTTTATGGTTCTATATAATTTAAGGGATATTTTTTTCTCCTTTTAAAGAAAAACAAAATCCCATTCCTGCACTCACAAAATGTTGTAGGGTCCATAAGTTTAAAAAAGTCCAAAAAATAAAAATAAGAAAGCTCGAGATTAGATGGGTCTGTAGGAAAGTGTTGATTTCATCTGCAACAACAGAAGAAAATCAACACCCATAATTTAATTACATTTTGTTTACTTCATCACTGTCAATTATTTATGGGATTTTGGGTCTTTTTTTGTAGAGCGAAAAACAAATTGTTATGGTGGTTTTGCTTTTCATTTTGATTTTGGGTGAGATTCATAATTGATTAATAAATATGAAACTTAGATGTGCGAGTTAAAAGTGAACTTAGAAAGATTTTCTCAGGGTATTATAATTTGGGGATTCATTTTGTTGTTTGATGATCCTTTGACGTTATTAAATTTTTTATTTCAGTGTTCTCCATTGATTATGACAGAAAGTTGGCGATGGAAGCAGTTACTCTGGGAGCATGTGATTATTTGCAGAAACCAATTAGAATGGAAGAGCTGCAGAATATTTGGCAGCATGTATTCAAAAAGAAGATTAATTCTAAGAAGCAGGAAGAAAATGAGGATGACGACTATAAAGAGCTTGGTCATAACAAGGAGCACCAAGCAATCCAAAAGAAGCATCGGGTTATTTGGACGGAGGAGCTGCACCAAAGTTTTTTGGCCGCTGTTAATCAGTTAGGAGGTGTTGACAGTAAGTTATTCACTCTCTCACAATGCAAAACAGTTGTTATCTTAATTGATATCAATTGCTACAAGAGGTCAAACAATTGATGTTTCTACTTTATTTTAGCAATTCTTTTATTGAATATTTGAGTAGCTAATAGCAATCCAATGCTAAAAAGATCATGACATGAAAATTTTGTTCAACATTATTTTGAATACTTTTTCTAGTACTCTTCTTTATCATAAATGCCACTGGAGTAAATACCATGCCATTATAATTAAGTCTTAACGCAGTGTCATGAGTTTTCTGTTACTGAATTGTATTATTTTGATTGAAGAGGCTGTAACTAAACAAATTCTTCAAGTGATGAAGGTTGAGGAGCTTACTAGGGCGAATGTGGCCAGCCATCTTCAGGTGTGTTTTTCTTTTCCTTTCTGCTTTAATTTCATAAAACCAAAGTTTTGTCATTCACATAACTTTATTTGGTTTTGCAATTGCTGCAGAAGTATAGAAAAAGTCTGAACAAAATCAGCTCTAAGCCAACTCAACAAGTTAATAACGTCAGTGCTTTTAGATCGTCTTCACCTGGTGGGATGATTAGAAGATTGGACACTCCTGCTGTTGTGCCAGAGTTGCCTTCTTCTGCAACTCTTCAATTGGATCATGCACAGAACTTAAACAACTCAACCAATGATCAACGTAATTTCCAATCAGCCTTAGTTTATGATAATCAAAATAGTTTACTGGGATTGCCAATGTTTGGGGAGCTTGACCAACTGCTTTGGAATGACATGAGTTTTGCCACCTTGCAAGGAGGGAATCTGAGTAGGAATGAGGGTGTTGAACCTTTTAGGCAGGCTATAAGGCCTCCTAATATATATGACATGAGTTTTGCACCCTTGCAAGGAAGGAATCTGAGTAGTGTTACAAATGCTCCTGGGCAAACGAGTAATAATGTGCCTTTTCAGAGGTTGGATGACCAAAGACAGGATGGCAGTCATCCTTAACATCATATTGGTAGCTAATAGACTCACTGGTTCCCTTGAATGGTGCTGTTTAATTCAAAAGTTCGTAGTCCAATGAACTCAATCTTTTAACTGAAACTTGAACTTCGATTCTGACTTTGATTTTTATGGTCCTATACAAATGTTTGACTTGGATTCTTTTGTTTTTTAAGTAGTTGATAATTTCATTTAAGTGTAATTTTCAAGATCATAGCTGTTAATTCACACATTTTCTCCAAAAGCATAGAATTATTTTATGAGGGATGTTATATTTCTGCTTGCTTCTTAAAAAATCTGTCCTGAAAATTTCGAAGGTTAACGGTTAACATAGTTTCTTTTTGGCGCTACATTCCTACCGTGGAAGTAATGACTCTCATGAATCATATATGAATGATGTATTTCATTATTTTTATCATGTATTATAATATCTTTAGTATTCCAGAAAGATGTCCAGCTAGAGGAGTAAGTTTTCATTCTTGCATTAAGTTGGAAAGATCATGGTTATTAAATCTTAATTAATCAAACATATTCATTCTAGAATTGAATGTCACGAGTTCAATGGCTATATATCTTTTGCAATCTATGCCCGTCTCACATACATTAATTATGGCAATATACAAATGTATACATCTATATATTTATTTGTGTATTTATCATCATTGTAATCCCCCGTGTTGACCCAAATTGCTACACGTTATGGTCATCGAACATACAATAAAAGTATACGATTTTTAAGGACCGAAGACCATCCTAAGCAAAGTAATTCCACCAGTAAAACTTATAAATATTTAATAATGTAACAGCAATTGTAAATTGGGAGTAGCTAAAACTGAACATCGAGACAAAGAAGTTTTAGCTTAAAAGTGAAGTTCCAACCCTTGGATTAACTCTAGACAGCCAAAAATAATTTATAGTAATCATACACTCGATAGTATTATATCTATTTATTTAAATAAGGATTTTTCTTTGTAATTAGTACCTGTATAATTGTAATTAGTTTGTTATTAGTTTGTTAATTCTGTTTGCTGAGCTAGCACTTTTAGTTAGTAGATTAGTTTCGTGTCATTTTCTCCTTTCTGCAACTTATATAAGTTGATGTACCAAGACTCAATGTAATCTATCGATTCAGTTTTCTTCTGTAATGAAATCAACTCAATTCTTCCATTCTGATATGGTATCAGAGCTTCATTTGGAGCTCTGATATTCGCCAATTTCCTTCTGTGTTCTTTCTATTGTGATTCTTCTTCAAGATTTTTCATTGAGCCTTTTCTGATAGCTAGAGATAAACGATCATGGCGAATCAGAGCTCACCTAAAGTTGATGTCCAACCTATGGATGAAGAAAATACCTCAGACACCACGCATGCAGCTGCAAGCACTAACGCAGCACATGCATCAGAGAATTTCTCAGATCCAGGTAGTGCTTACTACCTCCATCCGAATGAAAATCTGTCTCTTGTGTTAGTATCCACGCTTATGAATGGAAAGAACTACCATGGATGGGCCAGAGCCATGACCATGGCGGTGATCTCCAAGAATAAGCTTCAGTTCGTTAGTGGTTCCATCTCTGTTCCAGATCTGACAGATCGAAGCTACGCTGCTTGGGAGAGATGCAATTACATGGTTCTTTCATGGTTGCATCGTTCCATTACTGATTCTATCTCACAATCGATCTTGTGGATGGATCGAGCTGTGGATGTATGGAAAGACCTTAAGGAAAGGTTTTCTCAGTCTGACATTTTTAGAATTTCTGATTTGCATGATGAAATATTCTGTCTGCATCAAGGAGAGAATTTTGTTTCGGATTTCTATACACAACTCAAGATCCTATAGGATGAGTTGGAGTCTTTATAGCCAACACCTACTTGTAAATGTGTTAGGCCTTGCTGTTCAATTTCTTCTCAAGTGAGAGGCATTAGAGATAGAGATTATTCTATTAGATTTCTAAAGGAACTTAATGAGCAATTCTCTCATGTAAGATCCCAAATCATGTTAATGGACCCTCTGCCTTCTATAAACCACGTGTTTTCCTTAATTACTCAGCAAGAAAGGCTGATGCATTTGGATAATGTGATGCCTAGTATTACAGATGGAAATTCGAAGGTGTTCTTTAATTCAGCAGAACAATAATCAGGACGTGGACGTTTTTACACTCGAGGCATAGGACGTGGTTACAATAGAGGACATATAAGAGCTTTTATTCCTCGATTATGCACTCATTGTGGCAAGACAAGCCACACTGTGGATACATGCTTTGAGCTGGATACAGAGTTAAAGGGGGTCATAAGGCAAACATTGCGAGCACTGATAATCTGAAGAAATGCATTCATATGCTGATCATAACAATGTGGCTTATCTTCAAGGCAATACAGAGAACTTTACTAAGGACCAGTATAATGCTATTCTGGAAATGATACAGCAATCCATGAAGCACCAGCGTATGCAACAACAGCAAATGGAAACTTCCCATGCCAGTAACCTTGTACAAACCAAGGCTCTCAACGCTGAAACCAAATGAAACCTGGAGTTGAATTTTTTAAAATGTCAAAGGAGGATTTGCTGCCCTTTGTCATAAAAGGAACATGGGAAGCTATGGAAGAGTGCCACAGATTAGGTTTAGCCAAGTCTCTTGGTGTCAACAACTTTGGCATCAAAAAGCTCAACCAGCTCTTAGAAAATGCTATTATCCTTCCTGCAGTCAATCAGGTATGAAAATTTAGCAAAGGAAGCTTGATTTTGACACAATGATGAACACTTGTTGGTGCTCCCATTCAATTGGTTTTAGGTGGAAATGAGCCCATCATGGCAGCAGGGGAGCCTTAGAGAATTCTGCAAGCAGGAAGGAATCCATGTGAGTGCATGGTCACCACTAGGAGCTTACAAAACTTTGTGGGGTACAAATGCAGTGATGGAGAACCCAATCCTTACGAAAATCGCTCGAACAAGACAGAAGAGCTTGGCTCAGGTGCTCTTACCATCATTGTCTTAAACTACCCTGCATTATATAACTTTAGTAACCATGAAGTTTTAAACTTTTTGTTAAAGGAGTAAACCAATAGGTCCATTTCTTTTTAGTAAATAGATTTCTTTGCATATTTTCTTGTTTGATGAGAAAATGATTTTTTCTCGTCATTCCACAAAGCAACAGTTCAAATTGAGAGTGTTATGGACCCCTCCTGGTCAGGTTGTCCAATGCTTCACTTATTAACATAAGACAAAACAGTAATCCCAATCGTATTTACGCATTAAATGTATCATATCACCAAAAATGATGATCCTAGTACCAAACACGGCAACCCCAGTCTCAGAATGTCCCCTATTACGAGGATTCATCACACACTCTATTCCAGTGTATAAGACACCTCACATACGCATGCAAAGGGTTGAAGACTCTCTTATATAGAGGTGGACCATAAGGTGGGGGGCGACACATGAATTGAACAATTTGGTGTGAAGAATTGAGAACTCTTTAGGACCTACGTTTCTTAGTCTTGGAGAGTGAGTCTCGGTCATTTTCCTTAGTGTTTAGCTTGTTATTTTCTGCATATTTCACTGTTAGGGTGTCTTGTGATTTTTACTATCACAAGTGTTTTTCTTAGTTGTGTCTGTAATTGAAGGAAATAATCTTTGTTTTGTCCGATCCTTTTAGGCCCAATAAGTTGGGCTCAATATGAAGAACTCACTTCTAGAACCTTCTAGAGGGCACCTTATCATGAGCCACAGAGACTCATCGTTGGGGATTCCTCTTTCGCTGCATTGCTGCCCATTGTACACTGGCAATGGGTGCAGCATGCCTGGTCTCAAAGACAAGGCTTGGCTAGGTGGTACAACTTTCCTCATCCTCTCTTCCATGCTTGAGAGTGGCCTCTCCTCTCTGTATACTCCCTTCTCCTATTGAAGGGGCATCTTCTAATCTATTCTTCTTCTTATGAGCTGTTATTCTGCAAAATAGTAGAGCCACCATAGCCATTTAGGCATTTACACATTCCCTTTTTTTCGCATACAACACATGGGAAGCTCCAACATAGCCTTGGTTCATACCATGGTTACTAAGAATATCCCTAGATTGATATATTATACCCTTTGGGGGATACATCTTTGGGTCTACAAACACCAACAGTTCAGTCTCCATTTTCAGTTTAATTCAATATGAAATTACTGATAACATCAAACACTCACTCTAGTAGTCTTCCCTTTTTCCTCCTCATGCAGCTCATCCTCAAAAACACTGATACTTATCCTCTACAAAGGCACTAATATTTCATATCTGAATCCTTAAGTTGTTAAGTAAAGCAACAGGCAACTTCATCATTAGTTGCACACTTGGGCTTAGCCTCTATGAAGTATACGTAGGAACAGGGAGAAACAAGTTGCCAAGTACATATTGAAGTGTAACATTTCTTAATTTCAAATATTTTCAACCATTTAATAATAATAAAACATTGTGATTTAATAAAAAATAAAATAGTATGATATCTAACCTTTTTTATGTGGACATAATTTCTCATTTTGATAACCAGGTGGTTCATATACAAATTACACAATTATGTTCATCAAGGGCAATATCGTTGTCATACAGGTAGCACTAAGATGGATATACGAGCAAGGGGCAAGTGCCATTGTGAAAAGCTTCAACAAGGAGAGGATGAAACAAAACCTTGAAATATTTGATTGGGAACTGGGCCAGGATGAATCACAGAAAATCAGCCAAATTCCATAGCGTAGGATGTTTTCAGGAGAACAATTTGTATCCAAAAATGGGCCCTTCAAGTCCTTGGAAGAACTGTGGGATGGAGACCCCTGAAATCATTCCCTGTAGCATAAAAATGTCATCCAAATATATGTTTGTGTATAACTCCATACCCATGGAGTGGATTTATCAATGCTGCCAACCCATTTAATGGGATAAGATTTGGTTATTAACTTGTTATGGTTGTTTTGTTGTATTGTTAGTAACTTTTCCTTAACGTAAGTAACTAGGATCTATCCATCAAAATATTCAAA